CATTAACAAATTTATTTGCAAAAAGCGAGCAGACATTCCTCACCCAATACAGTCAAAAGGATTTAAAAAAAAAAAAAAAAGGGACACTGGATACAAGATCAGCTTCCACAGCATAATGGGATCTTAGGGCAGCACCCTGCTGCCAAGGATAGTCGTTACCTTCCTAAAAAAGCAGTTTCACTTGCGAACAGCCCAGTGGTTTGTCAGACAGAATGCAGTCTGAGCTATGCTAAGAATAATTCTGGAGTCCAAAGAATGTGAGAATTTGTGTATATTTTGTAGCAAATATTACTAGAAAGCCTACATGTTTCATCCAGTTTTAGTAGAAAACAAACATTAATTTTTTTATAGTTTCCTTAAAGCCCGTATATAAACAATTCCAGGTTTTCTACTCTGCTTTGAGAAGCTGCTGCTGTGCAGTTGAGAATATTTATCAAAGGAACACATGACTGGAAGTAAACCACTCGCTCTATCCTGCTTCAACTTTAAACTAGTTAAGCTCTCGTCACTGTGCAAACGCTCTCTGGAAATCTCTTCTTGAGCTACACTAATTTACCTGTTGGAAATCATCCTCGGATTTCCAGTCTAGGTGTTTTTCATGGCATTTCTAATCCACTCGAACAAACATTGGGTTTGACTCGTGCTATTTTTTTGACTTGGTACTGTTTCTCACCTGATGCATTTAATGGTAAATCAACATATTCCCCTCTCAGTTATTAAGTTGTTGTGCTTCCTGCTCTTAAGATCTTGTACCTGACCGTCACTGGCTTTGCCAGTCGTGAGCTCTTCTGTCTGATCCTGCAGGTCCCAGAGTGCTCCTGCTCACACCCCCTACCACGTTGTTCCAGTCAAACCACTGCTTCTTGCCCTGCACTGGCACCAGTGCTCTGTGAAACTTCCCTAAATGCAGAGGAGACAATCCCGGACACTCCTCGGCACAGCAAATTACTGTGAGAGAGGAGAGCGGCTACAAGTGTCACAAAAACATCTTGGGTGTTTACCATCGTTATACTAAGTGGAACGTAGTTATTCTCTGCAGTAATGTATTCAACACACTTGAGAGTCCTGTAGAACTGCAGAAGGAAGGTCACATCTCAAACTCCGCCAAAATATTAATATAACTACGTACGCGTTGCTGACATACTTCTCTGAAAATATATGGTCAGAAAGTACTCAACTTACGTGTCAGTATAAAGAAGAGTACCTAAATAAGAAGGGTAACGTACGGCACTGTGCTTTGGGTTTGTGCCTCCGTGCTGACAACACACCAGCTTTTTGGCTACTGCTGAGCAGCTTGCACAGCACCAGGGCTGTCTTGTTCCCACTCTGCCCCCCTCAGCGAGTGGGCTGGGGGTGGGCAAGAACTTGGGAGGGGACACAGGCAGGACGGCTGACCCCAAGTGACCCAAGGGATATTCTGTGCCATGTCAATGCTGTGCTCAGCAACAAAAGCTGGGGAAAGGAGGAGGAAGGGGGACATTGGGGGTTTGGCGTTTGCCTTGCCAAGGAACCGCTATGCGTGACGGAGCCCGGCTTCCCAGGAAGGGGCTGGACATCTGCCTGCTGATGGGAAGTGCTGGATGAATTCCTTGTTTTGCTTTGCTTCACTTACTAAACTGTCATTACCTCGACCCGTGAGTTTTGTCATCTCTGCTCTTGCAGTTCTCTTCCCCATCCACCATGGGGGGAGTGAACAAACAGCTATATGGGCACTCAGCCACTGGGACCAGCTCACCCCAGTCACTGAAGTATTTTCAAATGTGATAAGATGCATAGAGATGGTGGCCAGACAGTTAAAAAGAAGAAATCATACGATAAACTGCAGAAACAGTTTCAATATGCTGATTTAGCCAGACAATAACAGTTTTTCATGTACAAGCAGGACAGTGATTACAAGTTGAGATACATGTGAATTAAGCAATAACTAAAAGCACACGGTCTTCTTGTCTTAACGTATGTATTAGAGGCAAGGAACTCCCATTTGGTACCGAAATACCTAAGGGTGTACAAGTGACTGCCAAGATTCGAAAAAAACAGGGTTTATCTGTGTAAGCACGCAGGATATTCTTAAAACTTGGTTAAGTCAAGTACTATCAATTATCTTAATGTTAATGGGCTTATTATTAAAAGATATTGTTTCAAGTATAATTTGAAAAGTTTGTTTTAACTTTTATTCTCACAGCTCAAGCTATATGTAAAAAAGAAAAAAAAAATCAGAAGTAAAACTGTAAAGGAAAGGAATCAATCTATGTATCACTTTCCTTCCTTAAGGAAAACTTCTTCACAGTTTCTAAAGGTATGAACTGTAAATACGGATGAATATTAAGTTTTCTACGTTCCTGCTTACTGCTCAACTTTTATAGGCTTTTCCTGATAGTGTTCTATATTTCATAACCTTAAAATAAAATAGTATCATTAACCACCCACATGTTTAATTTGCTAAATTTCCCAAACACTTTTACTTTGAGGATCATCAGAATGCGTGGATTAGATTCACATGCTCATGTGGAGCCAATGAGTAGTACACAACAGTTCATTCCCTTTTTAACCAGTCCTAAAAGCCTTTTACTTTCCCCTAACCACCAACCAATTAATTTGCCTACCACTTGCTGGCTCTGGGACAATGCTCCCATAACCCCCTCCCACCTAACTCAGTCATTAACTAGGTTAGGGGAGCATTTCCCTTGTAAATGAGTCCCCTAAGCATTTTTACTTTTTTTCCCACCGAAGAGAGAGCAGAGCATACTTATTTTACTTTGTATGAAACAGACAGTATTTCTCTTTAAATATAAAAAAAGGAAATAGAACCCAGTATCACTGTGAACAGGTAAAAATATTTTTGCCTGCACATAAGTAACTGATGAGGAAAAGCTTTAGCATGTGTTAAAGAAAGAAATAAAGTGTTTGGCACTCCACTTTATGCACTGATGGTTCTGACTCAAAAAGTACTGCCCTTAGTTTTGTTTAACTTGTCTCAGGAGGCAAACAGTAGAAATAGAGCATGTCCCTCATAAAGAGGACATCAGAATAATAACGCACCCATTCCTCTTGAACCTTAACTCCTGAGCACAAGGCTGAGGTTGATGCAGTGTTAAGAAGGAGCATGAAGGATCACCTGAAGATGGGGCTCGCCTGAGTCCCTGCAAAGCTTACTTGAGTAGCCACAAGACGAGCTGGACTGGGCCTAGCCATCCGGAGAACATGAGCAGACATACTTTAGCTAAAAATTAAGTCACGTAAAGATAAGGCGCGTTCGAGATGCTGTTTGTTACGGCAGAGATCGGATTAGCAATTCTGCGTAATGATCACAACGGGTTTAAACGATCTGTTGGTCTGTAAAGTAGAGTGGTTTAAATAATAAATCCATGAGCTAATCATTAATGGCTTGCATAATGTCACTTCTAGATGAGAATTTCCATATCATGTAGAAGGGCAATGAATGGAGACATTTGCAAATTAGGAAGGATGACAACAATTAGGGCCCTTATTAAACAACAACAAAAAAAAAAAAAGCAACAATAGGTGATATGACAAAGACATGAAATACAAAGAAGGACAAAGAAGGCATATACATGACTTGTTTCTAAACTCTATAAAGAGATGAAAATTAAAACGAAATGTGTTTCAAGATACCAGAGAAGATGAAATGTTCACAGAAAACGTTCCCTCTGCAAATCACAGCAGTCCTCTGCTCCCTTTGGCTCACATGGATGACATCAACATGAAGGGAAGTTCAAGAACCAGCTTGAGCCTGAGACTTTCTATTAGAATCTCTTTTAAAAGGGCAAACTACTTCATTTTTAATGAAGGACAAGTGTTAGCAATCAGCAGGAGAATTATCAAAGAAAAAAAAAAAACCCAACCCTAGTACTGAATTGTCTCTGCGGTTTAACATAAAACTGACACTGCTGGCACAGACCAAAAAGTCCATGAAGTCCCATATTCTGTGCGGTAGTGGGTAACAGAGAACATCAAGAAGAGAACTGAATGGCTAACATTTTTGCTAGCATCAGCTTTTGTGCAATTCCATTAAAATTTTCAAAAATAATAATTTGGGTGGGTAAAGAATTAATCATAACAAAATTAAGAAGGAAGACTAGAAATAGACTGCAGAAATACTTTATATATGAAATGAAGGAAGAATTAAATGTTTAAGACTAACTGCTAACCATAAATTGAGAAAATGGCATAAACAACATCAAAACATTTTTGACATGCAAATTCACACACTTTTGAAATTGACACTCTAGTTTCTGAAGAGAGAAGGAGTTCAGTTTAAAAGATGAATGATAAGACCATGTTAGATATCACCAGGAGGATTCAGAATTAAGCAGGGAATGTTGAAGTTCTTATTAGTTTTCAACATGTAAGTTTTACAGTTTTTGAAAGGATCTAAGTGGCAAATATTTCATTAAAAATACCCATTTTTTCCCCCAACACTTTTCTGAATTTAATGAATTGCTAGTTCTGAATTTAACAAGTATCAATTCTGCATTAAAGATACCTGTTTATCGATTAAACAGTTAAATTTTACAAATTAAAAAAATGTTAAAATATTAAGTTCCGTTAGCTAAAAAAATATTAAGGAAATACTTTCTATTTCTAGCTACACTTGTCATGCCCCCAACTGAATTTAAGACTCATTGCAACTTAGTAAACAACCCCTAAATTCTGTGCTTATACAGCTGAAAACTCTCTGAGCAGTATAAGTTTGTAAAAGACAGTAACTTCCTTTTAAAGCAATATTTAAGGGCCATATCAACATATAGTCAGGTCTCAGACAGAAAGGATATATTAGGTTCCTCACGATAGGAATTTAAAGCCATCTTTGCACGGATCACAGACGATAGATAATAAGTACAGCCATCTTAAAACTGCTTATTTAAAAATAAATGCACAATTTACTTTATAAATTTCACCAGTAAAATCTTTGCGTATTGGCTGTTATAAAGTAAAAAAGACAACAAGAAAGCGCAATTATTTGCCAAAAATCCCATTACCTGTGTGCCAGCAGCACCCTGAAGGTCATCCGATTCAGTCCCAAATAACTTGGCAGCAAGTTTGACCAATCCCAGTTCCATTCAGTAATGGTTGACTGTTGATACATGGCAAGAAGCTTTTGTTAGTTATTAATCAGTGTTAATATGATCAGTAAATTAAAGCTCCAGCTGTGATATACTAACCAAGAAGGAGGGGGGTCTAGAACAAGGACTTAGGCAGATGATATCAATCATGTCCACAGAAGAACGTTCTTATTCCAATAAGACAGCAATTAATTTATAAATCCATTTGGGGATGTAGCCATTATTTATAAAAAGATAAATCAATTTTTTGAACCGTTACTCTTCCAACTGTTAATGGCATGCTGCCCAACCACTTTGTCTGAGAGCTTGACTCTTTTGTTTGAAAAGCAAAATAATTGGCAACTTTTTATGTAACAGCAATTTACATTTTCTGCTGTCAGCAAAAAGTTTGTAATGAAAAACTTGGTATAGCTGGAAGTGAAGATGTAACCTGTATCGTAATTAGAGTGATGGTTTACTTGTTTTGTAAGGCACTCCAGTCACCAGATGGTTATTATAAACAGCAGTAAGTCTAGACAATATGAACAAATATAACTCCATATTGCTTATTTAATAAATAAAAAGGATCTACAATAATGGTGGGCAGACAAAAGACCACATACCACATCCTTATGTTTACAAAACAGTAACTCCTGTCGCATAATATTAATTTTCATTGTCAGTAATGGCCAAGCAGTGACTACAATTCAACATTCTTGGGAGGAAATAATCCAAAAGTTATTGTTCTAACAGTAAAATAGCACTGAGTAGTTTAAAAAAAAAAAAAAAAAGCAACTCAAAACAATGGAAATAACCCTCAGTAAGAAGGGTAAAGTTTATCTTGCAGCGCGTCTTTTTCTTTTTCTAGACAGCACTTAGTTCTTCTGCAAGAGCAGAATCAGTGCAGTACCTCCCCTCTCCTCCACTGCTATTTTATTCCCTTCCTTCTTTTAATTTAATTTTCTCCTTAACCCTCATCTTTGGCACGCCCTTAAAAGTAATCTAGAAAAATAAAGGTGAAATACAGAGTAAGAAAAGGAGACAAGGGCAGCTAAAGAAAGAATGATATAGTGTGAAAGTGGATGAAGAAATAACAGTGAACATCCCATGAACAAGAAATAAGGGGAAAAGAGTCAACAGAGAACTGTGGGACACGGGAGAAAAGAGGTGACTGTTCTAAACCCTGCAGTGAATTAAAATAAAATACAGAGGAAGTACTTGTAAAATCAAGACGGAAAAAAAGGAGAAGCTAAAGAGTCAGTAGCAAGTCATTAAAAAAAAAAAAAGGAAAATTTATAGGTATAACAGATAAAAATGTATTCCACCAGACTGATCAGTTCTGTGAAAAAATAAAGGATCAGTTTTTTTAAAAAAAAGGAATTTCAAGAAAGGAAAATAATTTCTTTGTAGCATTTTTCTTCTTTGATACTGTGAGGAGTCACACAGCCTCGAGTTAATCTTATTAGACAATAGAGGAGCAGCAGCACTGGCAGAGATTGAGGTGTCAGGACAAATTGATAAAATCAAGAGCAACAAGTTACTAGGACCAGATGGTGATTATTCAAGATTTTTACAGGAATGTAAGAATTAAATGGCTGAATTGTTAACAGAAATGACACCTTCCTAGAATCAGCTACTGAACTAGAAGGTTGAAAGGTAAGAAATTTACATATCATTAATCAAAAATGCTGGAGTTGATCTCAAAATACCTGTTCAGTGGCCTTTGTTTCAGGAGCAGTGAAATTCGTGGAAATTATGATTAAGTATCTTGCTAAATTTGACAGGATAGGGACAAATTAGCAAAACTTCAGAAGAGAAAAGTCAATCACCCCAATGTACTGCAATTTTTATATACACCTACAAACAATACGTGGAATGCTTACTACAAATTATCTTTCCGAAAGCTTTTGAAATAATTTATTTTAAGAAAATAAAGGAGCCAAGATAACAACGGTAGTTGCACATTACATTATTATATAATATATAGGATTGTGTAGCACAAACATCCTCTGCTTAAAGCTGAAGCAGCTCTCTGGGCTCACAGAGTATTGCCATGCCTGTTCCAACTGGCCCTTCTGAGAGAAAAGTTTTAAAAATAAATACTTAACTCATTGACAGAGTATATTGTGGGGACTTAGAATTTATAAAAGGACAAAATGTTAGTTGATGTATTAAAACCACATCTAGTTACAATAGATTTAAAGAAAATCAAGAAATTAATCATGGATTATAAACTCCTAAGCTTCATGGCAGTTGCCAACCAGTAAGAAATGAATTAAAGAAGAAATATACCCTTTGAGAAGAAACACTGTTCACTGCCAGCGCTCTGGCATCTTCTGCAGGCACTGGTCTTCACAGGAAACCAGACACTGAGCTGTACGGACCGTTATATTATAAACTGACAGTCCCACGCCACTTAATAAAAGTGCGATTTTATGGTAAAGAGAACTATGCTACTTAATAATATTATTAATCTCAAGAAATAAATCTGTCATTGTCAACAACAGGGTTGGCACACGGTACTTTAAGGTCCATGATCACTCTTTTTTTCTTATAATTTTAAGATACTTCTCCATACCCAGGTAGCAGACTTTATGCCAAGAGGTTACAAAATCCGAAGCAATTTAATATGAACTATCCCTTGTCATCTGTTGATTAATAGAGCACTGCAAACCTGTCATGTAGCAGCAGAATTCTGCCCTGAGTTGTCACTTCTTGAAGGTCTTATTCTACCACACTATTAATGAATCGAGAATTGAGGCATGATAAACTATTTTCTGCATTTCAAATTGGAGTGAGTGATTACGTAGCCCCTTAAATTCTACCCATTTAAGATATACATGAAGGGACTAGTGGAAGGAAAAAAAAAATAATAATAAAAAAAATATATATATATATATATATATATATTTAAAGCACGTTCCTCTGGAGTGAAAAGCCTTGTGAAATTGGTATTAATCTCCTTTTTCAGGATATTAACACCTTTATTGCAACATGACAATGATTAAGCATTCATTAAACATTAATAAAATAGAAAAAAACCCCAAAATTAAACCAGATATATTTTACAGCAACATATAGTAAAATAGTCCAAAATGCTGAAAACTGGGAAAGGAGATTATATCATTTAAAAGCAGAGATGTGTTTCTACCACAAGACTGTGAAGTGAATTTCATACTGCAATTCCATTTGGTTTTAAGTATTTGCAATTGAGGGGTAGAATCAAAACTGTAGATGATGGATTAGGAAGATTTGAGAAACAGCAGCGTAAGATTTTTTTAAGCGTCCGAGTGCTATCAGAAACATTTTGTACCATAAATTGGTCATGTGGTGCTCTGGCAGAGATTTAAGGTAACTAGATCTATTTTCCTTATCTGTTACACTATCAGGAAACTAGTTTCTATAAGTAAATTATAACCCTTTACATATCACTAACATGCCTTAATGAAAAACAGAGAAATGGACACTTCCACTTTTTTTTTTTTTTTTTAATTTTTTTCCCCTGCTTACCTCTGTATTTTCAAACCACCCTCTACTTTGCTGTTCAACATTTCCACGAAAGATTCATCAGGAAGATTCTAAATGTGCACTTGGAGTTTTGCCATGACTTCTCAAAGAAGACTAGGCCTATGTACCGTTACACGGGCGTAATAAATGTCATTGCTACTAATGGGCTTTCCTTCACTGTACTGAACTAACACAGAAAGTCTAAGTAAATGCAAATTGCTCTTACATGCAATAATTCTGATAAAAGGAAAGGACAATAATGGCTTTTTGAACATCATGCTAGTGTAGAGGGTGCCCTCATTAGATTCCTGAGTAATAATATTCCTTTGCGCTTCATCAAATGTGAACGCGTGTAATTAATTCCGTTTTCATAATTTCAGTCTCTGTCATTATCATGATCATAATAAGACCGACAAGTAAAAATTATACTATAACCAAGGTTTCAGATTTTGACAAACCTGATTGAACACTGTTGCGCAAGACTGTCTGTACACCTGGAAAGGGTTGAAGACCGGCTGCTCTTCTCTGCCCTTCAGTGTCAAAGGCAGGCACTGACTGGAGGTAGCACCATCTTCAGAAGAATTCTCATGAGACAGCTGCTCTTTCAAATACGCCTTTTAGGAAAAAAAAAAAACAAAAAACAACCACAAAACAGTATTTGCCACCTAGCTTTCCAAGTGAAATTTGCCTAAATTTCAAGCCTAACTTTACAGTGGGCTTGGCAGAAGTTCCTTATGTTAAAGGAGAGAGTAAGTAATCTCTTACAAAATAGAAACCTTTTTAAAAATAACAAGATGCTGCAATAACCTCCACGAACACCCATCCAACTGAAGCAAATCAGAATAATCTAAACTCTTGTTCTGAAATTGTCATCAAATTATGTGTATCAGTTTTCATTAAATATACACACGTTAGGTGATGTGGAACTGAAAACCAAATGCTTTCTATGAGCTGCTCTAATGTAAGATGGCTATTATATGATTTATTTTACATGATAAACTCTAAATGAATATTTAAAGGTTTTTTTGGACAGCATTAAATATTTACTACACGACAGTAAATTAATTGTTTGATGAACACGTTCGAACCAGTTGTTCCAGCACAAGAAATAAATATTCTCCCACTCTTCAAAGCTATTTTTAATTGTTTAAGCATTCAAAGACTAGAAGTCATTTATGATTTACATGGCAATTTTAGAAACTATACTGTAACAGACGCACGATTATTTTGGCCACAATCTTTTCTGTTTTCACTTCTTAAACTAGTATGTAAATAAATCATCATTGCATGCCAATAAAGTGTTTTGATTAAATAGAACCATTTTACGAAGAGCTAGATAATGAAACACTTACAGATCTATTTGCAGGAAGGACTACTGTGATTAAACAGTTTATTGTTATTAAAATGAAGTCTATAATGATAGGATTGCCATAACATTGAGCAAGTACTCAAGGTGAGTCTTCATTGAGATGGGTGGATGCAAATGCTCCTCTTACTTTGCAGCACTACTGAGATGATAAAAAAATTTCCAGATGCAGGTGAGGGAACATGTAAGCTACCTGCCAAGGCATCCCGTGGGATCAGTGGGACTTTCTAAAAGAATAATTTCATCATCGGTTTACACTGATCCAACTGTGGTCTGGCCTGAAAGGCACAAGTTCCCTCCCAATCCACATGGACTGTAGCTGTTTCTCCCTTGTGTTGGCACTAGCATATGTTGTGAAATCAGCCAGAAAAAAGAAAGGTTTCAGCCAGATAAACAAGCCACATGATTTCTAGTACTAGTACAAAGGGGGGCCTAGGAGCAGGAAAGCACAAGGGCAAGAGAAAGAGCAGGACTCTCTCTCTGCTGGCTGCAGCCAACTGTCAGGATTGCCTAAGACAATCATGAAATAATCTAAGTGTATTTAAAAAAAAAAAAAAGAGGAGCTCTTTTGTCTTAAGACAACAGCATAACCCAGCTGTGAAAACACACCCTGAGTCTCTTACCTATATTTTCTCAGCCTACAAAAATGTCTGGGGTTTTTTCCCCCCATTCATTCATGACTTCATGCCATAACAAAGATTTTAAAGTAGCGGTGAAGGGAGTTATTTAAAAGGTATTTCTATACGTTTACCATTTTTTCATTAAATGTACTGCCTTGCATACACACATTTTCACAAAATCTGTAGACAGCTCTAAGGCAACGCAGCCCTCTGGGTGTCACAGAGCCAGCAGAATCAGATTCTGTTGGGTTTTTTTAGTAGAGATATTGGAAATAGCTGCCCACGCTTGCTGGGGTTTGAACATTTCGAGTGGCATACAGCTCACCTCCCGGTACGGGCATTTTTCTGTCTCTGGAATATTGTGGATTAATATTTTCACAAAGAGGCTTATTCAACAATGGTAACTGCATTACTTTAAGAACTCCTTTAGAGCAGTACATATCGTAGACCCTGAAAGGGTCATGTTTCAAAAATGTGAAAATAGAAACAAAATCATATTTGTAAACATGTGAGCTATATCCTCACTATCATTGCCTGGGCATGAAACCAAGTAAACAGAATATTACTGAGCATGACAGCTCAAGAGAGTTGGGTTATCTTTGGTAGCCATTAGTCAAAAATACTTATTATACTTTTTGATAAATACACTAAGGACTGGAGGCTGGTTTGAGTTCTACAGTATCTATTATAAATCTTTATAACATCATAGCTCTGTTTCCAAATATAGCTTCCAAGAATCCATATCCCTTTTCACCTGCTTTTCTAAGGAAAATCATTGAGAACAACAATTTTCTTTCTCATCATTTTGTTCTCTATTCAACACGTGATTATTAAGCGGTGTGGCATAAAGATCTCCAAACTAATTTTAAGAACATGATCCCTTGATAGACCAAGTAGTCTCCAAACAAAAGGATGGACCTTTGAACAGACAATCCAGTCTACTTCTTGGTAGCCCGGTGCATTGAACATAATCTAAGTTATGAAAAATTATATTGAAAAGTGCATCACCATAATGCCACGCGAAGCATTAAAATGTTTTGTAATGGTTTCAAAGGCAGTTTGAAGTAACACAGTTAAGCCTTTCTGTGAGTTGAGCTGGTCGGGATTTTTTTCTCTTCTTTTTTTTTTTAAAAAAAAAAAACAAGGCAGTTTTTTCCACTGAGAAATGTTCTATATTTAACAAAGCTCTTACTAGCTGCAGAAATTCAAGGAGAGACACCTGGGATGCGGAAAGTCAGGCTAAAGTCCCTCTTCCACCTAATTCTCTCAGCCTCTTACCTCCTATTGGAGCTGCTCCACTTTGTATAAATAACCGAATACTCACAGGAGTTGGATCTTGGATCAGAGTCTCCAGAACCCGATATGGGCATTCTACCCCTTCAGCTAGAGCACGATTCTATTTTTGACCCTAGAAGTTACAGAATGGATTTTTGCAGCAATTTCTACAAGGCGAAACAGCTCCAACGGGGGAGGAGGACAGAGTTCTGTGCTGGTACCTGATGGTCTGGGGAGTCAGTTTGCTTGTGGGAGATGCAGATTCAATTCCCGGGTCTAAACCAGGCAGAACAGAGATCCGAGCCCGTGTACCCCGTCCCCTAGGTGACTGCCCTAACTACTGGATTATGTGATTATTTTCGGAGGTCTTGCTCATCATCTTTTCCTCACTCCGTTATACTTAAAGTAATCCTGAATGTGCTCCAGGTGAAAAGGTTTTGTTTGAACTGTATTACAGTAATAATTTTCACTTCACTTCCCGAACCGTTTAATTGTTTGAGATGAAACTTGAAAAGATTCTGTATTGTATTAATATTAGGTTGCCATCTCTACATACATGCTTACATTGCTTCTAAAGCTTCCAAATGCAGATGCATAAAGGTTGCTTTTAAGCCTATACTTAGGAACTAAACAGTTGATCTGATTTTCAGAAGCACGGTGCCAGCACTGAGCTGTTCTCTATTGCCTTCTTACAGACAGAGCTGCCTAATCTTTGGGGCTTTTTTTTTTTTTTTTTTTTTGGCTATCAATTTTTTTTTTTTAAAGAAAAATCTTGGCCTATGCCTATATTTGCATTATTTTGCATTTTATTATAAACACTTCTGTACACTTGCAATGATCTTAACAGCACCTGCTTATGCATTCAAGGAATAGTAATTTAGTAATTAAAGCTAATAAACAGAACTTTCTTAATTAAGCTGCGTAGATCTGTGTTATCATACAATTTAAGCAAACCTGTGTTTATTTTAGTGTATAAAATCAAAATGCTTTTGGTAACTTGGGGCAATTTAGTACAGCCTTAGAAATAATGAGATAATTCTTTTACGTTGCCCGAATTCCATGTGCAGCAAACAAATCTGAATTTGTTTACTGTAATTTCGAAAGCACTTTAACTGAACGGAGTTATCTAGATTGAGTAAGGTTTTCATGTGGATGCATTTACTTCCTCTGTACAGCCGTAGGGTTTGTTTGGTTGGTTTTTAAATCAGGAGAACTGATTTACCACATTTAATTTTACTTCCTGTAACAGTCAATTTTTCAATAGCCTTGCGGATCTTTTTTTTTATTTTTTTTTTTTTCCCCCCACTGTATTCAAACTCCTAAAATGTATCTATGGTCTACAATATGAAGCTGAAGTTTATGAGCCATACTGCTGTTTAAGTACATAAATAAAATCTACATTGTTTCCCATAAAGTAATCTTTTTCTGTACAAATGCAGAAAAGCCTAAACTGAATGGATTCTATTACAATACAATATAGGATTTCATATTGACTTTAAGAAGCATTATCACCTCCTTGACTAACCCTTAGCTGCCAGCAGACGCTGCCTCAGGCCAGTACACACCTAATTGCTCGGTAAAAAGGCCGTTTCCCTACCTCATTGAGCCGGATGATGTGATAAATTTGCCTCAGGTACTCGCTGCCACCTGGTTTGTGGCAGATATCCAGGACCATCATGTTTATTTTCTGCTCAGTGAATCCAAGTGCAATACCTCCTTCCTCTAACGTTGCACCTTCTACTGTGACTGAGGCACTAGAATACAGAAAAGATACAAATATTCTTAAGTTAAACTTCTAAAAATTAAAACACCAGCACGAAGGCAGCTAAAGCTACATGTTAAAAATAAAAATTTAGAAAGATTTGGCTTGCACGAAACAAATGCTTCTGTATATACACGTCATGAGCCTTCACACAGATACATAACAAATGCTAAATAAATTATTTTAATGATACAAATTTTAATTATTTTAGTCCAAAAGATGAAAAAATAAAACATTCTTTACACGAAGGACATGCAAGCAGCAAATATTTTTTTTATTTTCTTTTCCACTAGAGAAGTATCTTTGCTACTTAGAAATGGCATTTGCATTCGATCTTTGTACATTTTTCTTTGCCTGTCGCTGCTCATATTAAAGCCTAATTAACATGTCAGAAAGGTAGCCATTACTCTAAGTATAGGTTAGAAGTTTTAAATTGAAGTCTTTTTCTTCCCACTGGTATGCTGGTAACCATTACAAAGGTACCTATTTGCCACTTGTTGCACTTTTCACCCTCTACTGTTCCTTGTTGGGGTTTTTTGTTTGTTTTGTTTGTTTTTTTTTTTTTTTCCTTAAAAGTATTTCTGTGAAGCTGCTAGGAAAAAAAAAATCTGAAGGTTACAGGCCCAAATGACTTGAAAAATGTGCATTCACTCCGGCCATCGTTACGTCACCAGCTCTGTACTTGCTCAGGAAAACAAATACTAATTCTTTTCCTTAAATATTAGAGACGCAACACAAGTTATACCACTGTCACCTTGACACAAACATGTAAAAAAACTTGAAAGGCCAACAGAATATTTTATCCATTCTACAGTCATCACCGGATCAATTTAAAATATACCAGAGGAACATTCTGATTTTTTTTTTTTTTTTTAATTTTTTTTAGAATTAAAACAAAAAGCAGAATACTTTGGTAGACTCAGCTGTTGAAAGTGTGCCACGATTACAAAGTTAGTGCTGCTGAAAGTTGCTGTTCGACCTGCAGGCTCGCTTAAATGCTGCACAGCTGCTGGACATTAAAGCTGATATTGCTTCCACATGCAGCTTCAGAACGTCCTACAGAGCAAATAGTTCCAAAATATAAACTATAATTTTGTTCTTTGCTGAATGGAAGTAAGCGATACTCTGTTATTATGGTGTATTTTACAGAAAAGCTCAGAAGAAAATGATCTTTAAAATTAAAGCACACTTAAGGCCAATCTTACGATGCCACATAGAGACACAACCTGAATTTCTTGTCAAACTTCTTAGCGACTGACATTGAAAAAGTTGAGGACCTCTGACAAAGGAGTGTATCAGTGTCAGCACCCAAATCGTATCCTTCCCTGTCCGTCACTGTGCAGGTGAAGCAGATGATTGGATTCAGTCAGTGCTATGATTAATGAGTTCCTCTCTGGATTTGGGACTGCCTATCAATCATGTCATTAGGAAGAATGTGCCCTGAAAGAGGCAGACCTCAGCCAAGGAATAACTGCATTCATCTTAATCTGTATATGCACCCAGCCAGCCAAGTCAGGGTCACCATGATGAAAAACAATAATCTTCAACTCGACAAATTACTTTGCAAAGACAGACATTTCTTTTCTTCTCGGGATGCGTGTTCTTCAGAATCTAACGTGACTGTTTACAGCTCTGGTGCTACCATAAAGTGAAGGTTATTTTAATGAATAGTAATGCTTTCAGGCAGTACACAAGACAGGGAACGCGTACAACTGCTGCTTTCTTTTTTTTTTTTTTTTTTAATTTCCCTGAAAAACAAGTTAAATTTTGTACGCCACAAAGGAAGAACCTACATAATATTTAGACCTTTTATGTAGCTAATAGTTCTGACAATAACGCAAAAATCAAGCTTGCAAAAATCCACCTTACTTTGAAGATATTTCCACAACTGTGCAGGTGAATCCCAAATAAATTTTTGAGATTTATGGGTTTTATTTTCTTCCACACAGTGTCTATTAGAAGCCTATAAACATTTATAAATATGAATATATATATATAAATGCATGTGCATACAGTTATCCACAAAATCCTTTAATTATTAAAAGGTTATACAGAACATAATTTTACACCAACTTAGATTTTCAAATATAATCATTCCTATTTCAAACAAATCACGTAAACATCACAAGTCTCCTTTTGAAAGATCTGCTTTCGGTTTAGTGATTATGTGACCGCTACTGAGTTTAATTGATATTTGAATGGCAACTTTAATATATTAGTTTTATAATTTGCATTTATAATAATATTTTATCTCTACATTGCATATCTCATCTATTTATTAACTAGATTTATTTTTTTTTCCCAGAAATTGACTCATGATATTTGAACATAAAATGGGAAAATAGCATTTATGCCAGACTTCCTTTGCAGAAATCACACTGAAGTCCAGGTTTCGTAACTGCATCGTGTAGCTACTCACTTGGAGAGCAGGTAATGCATTCTTCAGTTTCCTAAGGTTAAATTTAGGAGCCCTAGTCACAAACTAGTTCTCGCTCTGGTTGACACTACACAGAGAGAAAACATTTACCCACGTTCACTTCCCACAGTCGGATACCTGATGGATAATGCAGCATTTTTGCCATGTGTTAGAAAATAGAGTAGCATATTAATTTAAAATTCCCAGCTTCAGAAGAAGTGCAAATATTAAAGTTCTAGTTTTTAGAGGTTATCCACAGTATTGTCTTACCCTGCATTTGTATTTTTAAAGTAATACCTATTCTCTCAGTCACATTAGAAACCGTATTATGGAACCATTCTGTTAAGTATCAATTTACACATTATCATTATGGGTTTTTTATTCTATGACTCTTTCAGTCACTGGCATCTGGCTTCAATCTTTTAATCACTGGATTAGAGCTTGTAAATTAGTATTAAATGGAAACGTAAAGATTACAAAGGTCAATGTCAATGAGCATTTGTATGACACTATTACTGCTTAATGCTACTCATGTTAACCGACTACTCCTAGAAAGAGGATACTGTCCCTCAAAGCACCGCATGAAGTCTGCTCGCTGGTATCGGTGATTCCGACCTACAATCACTAGATCCTTTGTTTATTTGGAGAATTACTGTCAGGAGAGCAACGACTGCAATCTTCAACAATACTCGTTGAAAAAAAGCAATCTCATTTTCAGTGGTCAACAGTTTAATTCAGTAAGTCGTGTAACTCCAATAAATCTAATACCGGAAAGCGATGAACAGCGTTTTTACAGAATGGTACACAACTCCAACGTTAATGCAAGGCTGGACTAGGAGCACATTGACGTGTACACAACTCCTTGAAAAATCATTGTAAGGATTTAAAACACTCAAACCTTAACGTCAGATCTGCAGGGAAGGCTGATATTTCCTCAGAAAGGCACAGCAGGGCACTCCCCTTGCCCTGTTTTGATATATACTACTTGCCCTCGGGGTTTGTCATGTTTTAAAATGAAGTATGCTTACTTTTTAATCACAAACGAACACTGAAAGCTTTTCATAGTCCTTCTTAATTTAATCACCGTGGCAAAATTAATTTATAAATATACTGTGGTGCCTTCGAGTCAGTGTACCCAGTCACATTCTGAAAGATAGACCAACTAAATTGTCCACATTTTTGTATCACCAGGAAAATACAAAAATCACTAAGTATTATGAAGATACTGTTCCGATGAAACAACCACGGTTCACTGTTTCAGCAATGCAGCTAAGTTGCAAAAACATTCTACAAAGCCATCGATATAAAGAACTACTTTATTTTATATAAGATCACTGTGCATCTATTTATTTTTTTTTAAGTTGAACAATAGCCATAAACATGCCAATAATCCAGTAAAATAAAGAACAAACCACAGCATTGGAAAAATACTACGTACTTACCAGTCTGTGCTCAATTTTCTTGCCTTCAGCAACTGGCTTTCAATCCAGTTTGGTCTTTGCTGTTCAATGCTTTGTATAACCTTCTGGGTCACTTGCTTAGGACCACTTTTCTGTTTTCCCATAATACTTTCTAAGCACACACGAACCAAACTGAGTTTTTCTTTGCTCCATCTGTCAAGTGTTGCACCTGTTAAAAGTTCTGCAGTATTTCCATCCTCCAATATCCGACATATAATTACAATCAAGTTCCAGACAAGCAGACCAGCTTTCTTCAATTCAGCAAACTTTCTTGACATTTTTCTCTCAGCCAGAAAAAAGAAGTACTTAATTGGGGGAGGCAAACATGCAATCACTGTAGGTAACTTGCTGATTACAATAGATACTGCCTGAGCTGCAAGCCTTGTGAAGCCTTAAAAAAAGAAAGAAAAGAAGATATGATTAACATTAACATTCTAGTTCTATCACAGCATGCTTCTGAATGTTGTATGATAATTTCTAACTTTCTTTTGTACTGAAAATGGGTAAAAAGCTTAAGTACTCAACACTGTAGCTTGACTTCTATTGTGCTTCCCCCACATAATCCCACAAAATCTAAACAATAACACGCATTAGAAACAGAGAACCTAGAAACTGTGGAATTCAAACTGTGACTGTATTAACAATTAGTCCTGCTGTGCACAGTTATTACAGGATAAGTGAAAAAGGCAACATCCAGGTATTCTGAATGGTAAAAAAGTTGTCTTCAGAAGTGTAGTCTAACAGTTTTTCAACTTCACGACTAGGGGCATTGCACTGTCTCAGCATATTACACACATTCATAATCTTTAGTTTTCTACCAATCACTTTCAAACTTACAGAACTTCAGCTTATCGACTTTCATATAAACATGCACACTATAGAGCACATACAAACATTCCAGGTATTAAAAGTAGCTATAGAAGGAACTACAGAAAATATGCTGCTTGAAACCCAAGACATATCTAAAATGAAAAAAAAAAAGCCATACCAAAAGGTGATCCATAATACAGTGTCAAGATTTAAAAAACCCATGAAAACAAACCAAGAAAAGCCCTGACTCATTGCACCTGTATTTTCAACTTTTTTTTTTTTTAAAAAAAAAAGGGGCCAGATCTGTTCTAGGTGTCACACAGCCAGTTTAATTCGTCATTAAGTCTGAGCCTTACCTCTCAGCTTGCATATCAGTTCAGGCTTAGCGATAGCCTAAACCAGCCACACCAGTTCTAGATTAAAGTGATATTGCAGCGAGCACACTGCTGCATAAACGTGTCTCAACATGCCGGAAAGAAGACACGGGGAAAAAAAATGGATTGATGCCCTGACTTGCCCACAGTCTACATTTTCAAAACTTCATGCCAGAACATACCACAGTCATACCACCCTATTGAAAATAATCAGGGAGTATTTTGGTGGCAATAAATTGAAGGCAAAATATTTCCAAAAGCTAGCCTTTTGAAATGATGGAGGCTTTAGACACTGTAGGATATGAAAGTATATACCAGAAATAATCTTTGCATCAATCACCTTCAAAACATCTCCTATTACAAATATTATTCCTCTTCCTTCAGTACTTGTTTCACCAACCAAGCAGTAGCGAATTCCACACCAGTTTCAGTGCTATTCAGACATAAATTGCTGTTCTAAAGTTGTGATGAATAAATTGTTATCATTTCAGACAACATTTAAATTTAAACAGTCTTGACTCAAAAGATGATAACTAAGAGAAGAACTGGTTACAGCCATTAAGACAAGAACACAGACATTGTGCTTTACTCTGCCTTGAGTTCCACCTTACTACTGCCAGATGCTGAAATTGTTTTCAGTACTATTATTATCAGTGCTACAACACTGATTATTTTTAAAAGTTTGTTTGTGTGTGCATAGGTGTAAGCCTCAAGAACGAGGTACTGAACTTTAACGCTAAGTTCTTTAAAAAAAAACCCCTACGGGATGTCTGGAAATTGTTTTGTTCATTGTCAAATTGCAATATTCATCAATTATAACTTAAATTTTAATATGTACTCATTAAAAGGGTAACAAGCTTTTATGACAAACTTATAAAAGAGTATAAATTTCACCCACATTTTCCAGATTCTTTTCTCTTCATTTCCGGAGGAGTGTAATTCCATTCCTTGGGAACTGTTTTCAGTAAACTTTCAGGAACTATTTGCCTGTGCTGGTACGTTCCATAGTTCTGTGTTGCCTCCCATGAATGCATCAAAGAAATTATCTGCTTCACTATACCCTTGACTGAATTAATCAAAGTCAACTTCAAGCATCTGATAACCTCTGGCTCCGACTCACCACAACTGGAAACTTCAGAAGGAAGAATTATTAAATATTCAGTAAGTGTAGTCAGTTGTGTAAAACTGTTTCAGAAAGAAATGTTTCAGAATTCTTATGGAAAGAAAAGTAAAAACATGAATTATTGGTCTGTTACAAATTAAAGAGAATGTAACGCAAAACAATGGAGCATCTTGTACCATCTCAATACAGTACCGACAGAAAAATACGATTTATTTCCTTCATCCTCATTTCTCCATTAATATATTTCTAAAAATCTCATTTAAGCTGACTGATCTCTTCCTTTTTATATGAAACACTTTTAATTACTTGTTAGACATCAATGAGGCAAATGGATATACCCATTTTTTTTCTACTTCCTTGTCTTGACAGTACTAATGAAGTTGTGTTTATTGGATACCCACAGTGTTACACTAGGGAACAGCAAAGGAAAAAAAAAAAAAATTTGGAAACAAAAATGCATACAAATCATAGTCATCAACAGAGACATAGTATGTTATCAGAGATTGTATGTTGAAACTAGACCACCCTAAATACAGTTATTGACATCACAACAAGTATCAATCTTCTCCACATTCTTAATACCACGGAGAACTGCGGTTTCCCCACTGCCACGGTGCAGCAGTTGCCAGGCAGGGTGCTGCAGGGCGTGTCAGAGATGTCTTTTGACGCATTAGGTCCTTTGCTCATACTTTTTCTTGTCTGTACTTTATGCCGATCGAAGTTTTATTCTTCTCTGCATGGCCTTTCCGGAAGCTTCCATGCAGTATCTCTGTATTTTTCTTCCTCCCACACCTTAGACTTCCACTTTTTGCAATCCCATTTTTCCCTGAGGAACACCTGAGCACTTTCACCACCTTTCTTTTCTATTTTGTGATATTCCTAATTCTGTTTCCCCTTTTACATTTTCCCGTTTCCTTCCTTCATCTTCTCTTGAGCTTTCCCGCACTGTAGCCATCATTTTCAAGATCACCCTTATAAACCTCACCTCTCCTTTCCGGTTGAGTTCTGTTTTTCCTTGGGTGTTAGTTGCTCTAATTGTGAGGCAGAGGACTAGGAGCCTGTCTGCCTGTTGACAGCAGAGTCTATTTGCCCATCAGACTACGTCTCCCTCAGTAGGAGTCCTTCCTTTTCTTTTTCCACTCTCCTTCAAACTTTTCTTACTTTTATATTGTGGCAAAGGTCTGGAGCTATTAAATGCACAAAGAACCTGTATTGGTAGAGAGCTACAGAAACAACCTGCTGCCAGGCTGCTGGTAGGCAGCGAAGGAAACCAGACCCCTGGTCGACCACACCGCTCCATAACCTCTGCTTTCTTCAAAATGTTCACCACTCCCACCATGACCTGATTGTTCAAAACACTTCAACTATCCATTCATTTTGAAGTAAACTACCACCGTTTTGTCTTATTTATTAAGGTAAAAATAACATGCACTACGTATCTGAAAACTAACAAGGTTTAACATCAGATTTTAAATCCTTGTTAATGTATTAAATACCTGACATATTGTATAAGCAATCCCACAAGTGCTCTTTTTCCATGTAGGTCTCAAAAGCAATGCCAAGGGATTTGGGTGACAAAGTGCAGTAAGACAACACTGTGAAGATGGCTTCAATCAGAGTAGGCTCTTTCTTATTTATCTGTTCTAGGACAGAACTTTCTTCATCACAATTCGATACTTCATTTCCTTCAAAATAAAAAAAAATATCATGGTTACAGTAATTTTCAAGTAATTCAAGTTCACAGTAATATAATATTAATCAAAACAATCTGCAAACTGTATCTGAATAATATTTCGACCAATGATACTTATAGATATTGAAATCTGATGTTCCTCTGCATAACGATGTTTGACTCTCTTCCTGAATTATATGTAGCCGTTAAAAAGAGACTCGAGCGTGTTTACAAACTATGGAATATGACTATTTAATTGAATTCATTTAAAAAAAATGATTAATTCAAATATTTAATCATTTAATTCAAAATGCGCTCAGTTTATAATTGGAACTTGATTATTTACTAAATATTAATCAGAAGTAAATTTTACTACTCCTGTAGAATCACAGTCAAAAAGTTACTACTGCTTAACTCCTCTTGCCAATATATTAGTCACATGAAATAATAGACCTTTATTTAGTTATATAAAATAAAATAAAGCAGCAGCTGCATGCTCCCCCAAACAGGCTGGCTTTGCTTTCCAGTATAAAAAGAAATTGAGAAAAAAATCCGTTCTGCAAAACAAAATCTCAGCCCTGCTAAGACAAATACCTATGTTTTTAAAAACAACTAGCGATTTTCATAAAGTTGAGTGGTAACAGCTTACATAACATGTTTCTAAATTTTTTTCATAATGCTTACAAAACATTCTCCAAGCTGAAAGAGATAATGATGTGCTTAAACCTCTTCGAACCAATGCAACGCAATGGCTTTGAATTGTGCTGATGTCAAAGATCTCAGCTTCCCACGTATTTGTGGAATATGCTTTTGATGTTAACAATCATAACAAATGACCAGAGCCAGAACCAATTAAACACTTTTAATTTAAATTTCTAGTTTCAAAAATGGAAAGTTTCTGTAAAACTGATTTAGATAAAATTATACTTGAAAATGTCATCTTTTTTTTATGCCAGTTTGGCTGCCCTTATCTTTAGCAACCTGTGCAGGAGAAAGATGGGAGAGACTAAATTTCTAGGCTGCATTTTTCTAGTGGTTCAAACAGCCTTCAAAATCTACCACAGTGGAAAATTGCTGCTTTTCACCCAGCTCTGAATGACTTGAGAATGTTGTAAAATTCAAAAATCTCATTCTACTCTCCTCTGAATTCCTGCAATCTAATTCACACGTTATTGTAAACCATTCAGTCTGGGTAGTGTGCAACCTTAATAGAAACAGCCCATAGGATGTAGAAAGCTGAAAAACAAGATCAGTGATTTCATAACCAACAAGCTGTGGATTTTCTTCCCAAGGCAGGAGACAGATCAGCAATAAGAATTTTTTTTAGTCAGCTTTTTTTTTTTTTCCTATGAGTTGAGTGAGCTGGCATATTTTGCTGAGACACCTTCCAATGCCAGATGCTTCTGAGCGAAGAATCAAACGGATTCTGCTAATTCACTCAAACCAGGGATATGTTGTCTAATATGGATATGACAAAGAAAGAACCAGGAAAGCAGAAAAAGCAGTTCCAAAAGAAAAAGCTGGAGGTATTCAAATGGTGAGATGGAAATTTGAATTTAACTTTGGTTATATTACTGTAATTTTTATTTTTTTTTAATTAATTTCACCAAATTCTATGCAGGATTTGCTGAGATTTTAAATACAATGTAAACTGTCTTTGCGGAATATGATGGGAAACTGCTGCGTTTAAAGGGGCTTACGACTAGGATTGAAGCCCAAATTTGCTTTATGACTGTGCCACATGGAAAGTTTGAGTCACAACTTCTTAATAACTTGTGTAATCAACTTAGTGCTACCAATAAATTTAGATAAATGGAAAGAAGTGTAATTCTGTAGGGGTTTGTACATATATATGTATCTCCTTATAATTAGTGTATAATACAAGTCCTGTGCTTTTAAGCAAAGATCTTCATGAACCCGCTGGGAAACCATTCTGAGGCCAGATGTAACACGGTGTGTAAGCTTTCATCAGCTTCTTCCTGTTTTACACCGTCCTGGTTTCAGTTGGAATAAAGTTAATTTTCTTCCTACTAGTTGGTAAGGCGCTGTGTTTGGATTTAGGATGAGAATAATGTCAGTGTCAAACTGATGTTTTAGATGTTGCTCGTGGTACTTACACTAAGTCAAGGATTCTTCAGCCTCTCACGCTGTCCTGCCAGCGAGCGGGCTGGAGGTGCACGGGGAGCTGGGAGGGGACAGCCAGGACAGCTGACCCCAACCGGCCAAAGGGGCATTCCCGACCACAGGATGGCATGCCCTGTATATAAACTGGGGGGGAGTTGGTGGGGGGACACCACAGGTCAGGCAGGGACTGGTTGGGCATTGCTCAGCGGGTGGTGAGGAATTGCATGGTGCATCACTTGTCTTGTATATAATAATAATAATAATAATAATAATAATAATAATAATAATAATAATAATAATAATAATTATTATTATTATTATTATTATTATTATTATTATTATTATTATTATTATTATTATTAT